TGACTCATCTGTAAAATCTAAAGACTGTTATTTCCATTAGTGTTAGGATTTACAAAGAGTTTTGGAAGCACTTAAGACTTGTAAGGTTAAGATTTTCAAAAGGATGTTAGGAGAGAAATGCAGGAAATCCAGAGAATAGGAGAGGATGGTTGGCATGGTCACACATGACTTCCCAGGTCACTGTCTCCCCTGTAGACCCAGCCAGCTTCCTTCCATGCCAAGTTTCGAGGTAGATGGAAGACTTAGATGGCTTAGACTAAGATGATCCCTGATGGCTCTCTCTGGCTCTTATATAGAAGCTTCATTATGGTACACTGCTTAATAACCCTTAGCTTTCTTTCATTGTATTTTCTGTCTAGTTACCGGTTATATTCAGGGAAGCAATTGGCCAGCCACCCCTCTTCTTTGATGACAGCCCTAATGGCGTTCCCAAAGATTCCCAGTCTCATGTTGGTGTCTCCTAAAAATAAGTACTGTGGTGGGATTAGATATGCTTTTGTTTTTCTTTCCAGTTGGAAAGGGCCTGGAGTCATTGGTTATAATCCTGTCCATTCAAGAGGGTTATAAAGATTTCTCAACAAACTTGACTTTTTCCTTTTCTTCCATTATTACCAAAGCCAATAGCTTCAGATAGAGGAAATCTAGACATTTATTTTTTTCTTTCTCCCTTAAAAAGTAAACCTCCAGAACATCTACTTGTTTGGTTCCTGGGCTTGTACTTTCTGTGATGTGACACTTTGAAGATAATGAGCCACTGGGCTTTACAGATAGAGGTGTGGGGAGTAACAAAGTGAAGATACTGATTTAGGTGCTTGTATAGAGCCTAGAGTTATTCAAAGTGTTGTCACAGGGTTGTGCACATTATATAAGGCTAAAATCTAATTTTCAATTAGATGAAGGGCAAACCAACTTCATACAATTACCAGATGAGCTTAACTGCAATGGACTTTTCCTAGCAAGAAAGGTATACTGAGTGTAATGCTGATGGCTCATAGTACAGATGAGTCACCAGAGCACGGGCCTCTTCCCTCCTCTAGAATCCAACTGAAGCACATGCCTGGGTTGGCTCTGGAAGTCATCCTCTAACTCTAGGTTTCGATCTATATCAAAAGGGTTAGTCTGCCTGGGAAGGAAGGGCAAAGGAGGGAGCAGGCTAGCCTCTCCATTTCCTGTCCTTTGCTAAGATTTTTCAGGATGCCCTGTCTTATGAAAGCCATAAGGCACTTACTTGGGTTTAACTTCCTTCCTATATAATGTTCCAACCTTAGGGGTGCTGAGAAAGTTCTAGTGGAATATGGCAGCAGTGCTGTCAGCAGCAAAGCATCCATGCTGATGGGGACTCTCCATGGGCCCTGCCTATGTTTATTATGGGAGGTGCTATTGAAATTGTTAGTAAACTAAAATACAGGGCTACAAAATAATGTGGAACTAGTGTAAGACAAGACAATATGGACACAAGCTGTTATATACATGAATTTACATAATAAAGGAGGCATGGTCCTTTATTGGGTAAGATAGATAGTTGGGTAAAATCTAAATATATGGGGGAAAGTTACTATAGGCCAAAATAAATTCCAGGAGTAATAAAGGTGTAAGTGTAAAAATTAAATAATTAAAAAATACATACTTGTTAGTGGATATTAAATTGATCTCTGGATCAATCAAGACTTTGTAAGCAAAAAGCAGATAGAAAAAAATCATAAAAAGAATAGACATCTAAAACATAAAACAATTAGAAACATTTTTGCAATGATAGATGAATGCACACTTAATCCCTAAGACCTTAAAAATTCCACATGGAAAAGTACTTAATAGATACATGCTCAAAGGATATTGACAACTCATAGAAGAAAACCGATTAGCCAAAAAGTTCCTGGAAAAATAGTATATGACAATCTGAAGGGTATTTAAAAACCCAGAAAATAAACCTATAATGAAAAACGTTTATGATTTATCAAATTGGCAAGTATTTGAAACAAATGCATGATAGCAAACATAGGGTAAAAACTTTTCTGAAATTAAAACAAAAAACAAAGCTAAGTTATTATGGTAATAACTCAATAATTTCACTTCTAGGAATTTTTCAAGCTACATTATGTGCCAAAGATGTATGTGCAAGGACATAATTGATAGCATCATTTGGGAACAACTGAAGTGTCAACCATAAGAAACTGTTAGAAATTATGGCACATACTAACATTCTGGAATATTATGCAGCTATTAAAAACTCTGCTTTTGAATAATGGAAAGATGTGATAAAAAATGGTAAAAGAGTGGCAGTCACTGACTCTGCGTGATGGTATTAGATGTGATTTTAACTTTTTTGTATTTTTCAGTTCTTCATTAATGGGTTTCCTTTGTAAGGACAAAAGGAAATGAAGACAAACATGGCCAAGCGGTCTGAACAGCCCCATTGTGGGTGAGGAGGGCAGAGGCAGAGAACTATGTTTAAAGCTGAATAGAGAGTTCTGTAAAAACCCTCAAAGCTGCTCTTACCCGCAGCAAGAAGCAGCGGCACTGGCAGTTCTGCATCAGCTGTCTAGAGGGTGTAGGAGGAAAGAATGCACAAATACACTTATGAATGGAATGTGTTTTGCAAGAGGCCAGGTCGGCAGCTTTGGCTTCCCAAAGATGGGAGAGTCAGCTGCAAAACCAGTGTGTGCAGACTGAGGCCTCATAGAGGCCTGTGGTCCTGGCCCATCTCTGCAGTTCTGGAGTTGGGGGCTCACAGGGGACCTCTAGCCCCACCCATCCAGAAGAAAATGGACTTGGCTATGACTAGAAGCAAAGGGAGCTCTTGGCCCAGAAAGCCCTAATCTGCTCTGTGATCTTGCACATGGAAGAGAATCCTTAGTAAAATGTCATTTATTGACAATGTAGGTTTTCCCTGATATATGAAGTAAGAATGTCCCATTTTAAAGGTGAGGAAACTGAGGCTCAAAGAGGGAAAATAATATAGCACGCTATTCTGTCAATTTCCACAAACTGGATCTTTGACTTTTTACAATAATCCTTGAAAGTACAGATACTTTATCATTTTATACAGCTGAGGAAGTAGATTCAGATGAGGTTTAAGTTATTTGCCTAGGAGCAGAGCCAAAGCACCAACTCCAGGCCTGTCTGTATCAAGGCAAATACTTGTCTCCGGACTGGATTCTCATTAGGTAAACAGCAGCTTAACTCCCACACAGCCTTGGAGCTCAGCTGGGCAGGAAGGAGTCCAGCAGCACTCTTAGTTTTGGGATACTCTCAGGCCTTGCAAGGGAGAGGTGGCAGTGTACCTGAGGAACCTGCCTCTTTACCAGGAGCTTCAGGTTGCAGTGTCTCTCACCCCCAAATCAAGCTCTTCAGTTCTGGTTCCTGGTCCCAACTTTCACATAGGGCCAGATCATTGAGAAGTTACATTTAAAGGATTAAACACTGCCTGAGGGCTCAACCTTCAGAATGTTGAGATTTTTTCCCCTAATTATAAAAGTAGTATATTTTCCCGGCTGGCGTAGCTCAGTGGATTGAGCGCGGGCTGCGAACCAAAGTGTCGCAGGTTCGATTCCCAGTCAGGGTACATGCCTGGGTTGCAGGCCATGACCCCGAGCAACCGCACATTGATGTTTCTCTCTCTCTCTCTCTCTCTGTCTCCCTCCCTTCCCTCTCTAAAAATAAATAAATAAAATCTTAAAAAAAAAAAAAAAGTAGTATATTCTGATCCTACACACAGAAAAGCATTTGGTAAACCTAGTATGCCAGTTCCATAGCCAGAAATAAATACTGTTTATGATTTTGGTATATAGTCTGCCAGCTTTTTGTTCCAAGCCTATGCATATTCTTGTTTACTTTCTTCTACAAAAATGGGTTCTTCTCTAACCCTCTATGCTTCACACAATATGTACTGTGAATGCATGCTCTCATCTTCAAGTCCTGTGAGATCTATATCATTATCCCAAACACAGATATGTGATCTTATTCACATTCATACAAATTAAGTAGGAAAGCTGGAATTCAAAGTGTGGCAGTCTGGGTCCAGAAGTCTACTGCCATCTCTGGCAGATTTCTTTACATGTTTACACACATGTGCATACACACATTTTCTAAAATGGCTACCTAGAATGCCACTGTAATGACCCTGTGATATCACCTCCATACATGTTTTTATAAGACTACCCTGTTACTGTAAGATAATACTCTAGAAGTGGGATTGCTGGGTCCCATTGTTCAAAGCAATTCATAAGGCATTTTGGTATAATACATACTGTACCCCAGATTAGTTTGTCTTTTCTGGAAGTCAGCTAATATCTATCAGTTTTTAAATTATGTGTGCCTGTACCCATGTCCCCTGAACACAGAATGTTAACAGTTCAGGAGTTCATACAAAAGTACAGCACAGGCTTCTTGAAATTTAAGCTTCCAATTCTAAGGGGGCAATCTGTGGTGACAGAGGCACCTAGTGGCGGAGGGCGGCACTGCAGCCTCACTGAAGGGAAGGAGCATTTCTAATAATGAACTTGGAAAGGGGCTTTCCAGGTTGGTAAAAAGCCAAGTCTTCTACTCTTGGCTGTCTGGTGACCTGCCAGGTTTTCAGCCTTTTTCTTTCAATTTCTTAACAGCTGTCAATGAGGAAACAGTTTGCCTTACAGAAATTTGCTTCACTGATATTACAACTTTGACAAACTGCAAAATGGCTGGGTTTTCTCCAAGGGGAAGTTAGCTCGGGTTTCCCTCCCTATGTATGTCATTTACTATGAGTGCTGCTTATATTGAAAACCTGCTGCAGTGCCTGTGCAGAAACCCCCAACACCAAGAAAAGTACAAACAAATGGGTTTCCTTCCCTCACCCTATCTTAGATGAAAGATGCTTCAATTTTAGACATTTATTGAAAATGTGTATATCATATAAATGAACTAGACTCCTTAGCTGGTACACTCTACAAAAGCTGTCTGCTGGGTTAAGAGGGTGCTGCCCAACCACGTTCTCTGCTACTGCCCACAAAGCATCAGAACTGTACCTAGAAAGTGGTAGCTGGGCTCAGGAACACATGTGGGATGATGCTTTCCTCTTTATCTTGTATTCCCATCAGTCCTAAGCCAGGAAGTGATCCATGCATGCTACAACAATGAAGGCAGGTTCATACCCACAGGGTTGAGTGGTTAGAAATGCATAGGCAGAGGTGATAAGGTTTTGTTGGGGCGGGGGGTGTCATGGGGCAGTGGGCTGCAGGTGAACAGCTTATGGAAAGCTACCTGCTGAAAATGGGTTTAATGGAAAATACTAATACTGCCAGAAGCCTAGAATCAAATCTTAGCTCTGCCACTTAACAGATGTGAAAGCACACAATTTAAGGTTAATGATTTCAAGCTGAGCCTTAGTTCCTTCAGCTCTTACATATTTAAGTTACTCTCTCACAGAGCTTCTGTGAGGATTTTCAGATGATCATAATTAACATGGAGGGTGCACTTACTTAATGGCCAGCATCATTGTAAACACTTTCTATGCATTCTCATTTAACCCTCAAAACAGCTCATGTACCTAATTTAGGTGTTAATAGAGGCACAATTGTTATGTCCACTTTTCAAATAAAATAGGCTCACAAACAACTTGCTCAAGTCATATAACTGTTAAGTGACAATCTGCCATCTGAGTCCTTTTAAATTGCTGTTAAGAGTTTATTCTTTTGTTCATTTCACTTAAAACATTTGAAGCACTGTTTGAAAAACTTTTAAAAAGTTGACTTATTTAATAATTTATGTTGTAAAATATCTAGTACATGATATGAGGCCCAGAGTGACTGAATATTCATGGAACTGGGTTAGAGGGCTGGAGGCAAAAATCAGCAAACACAAGCCCAGAAGCTGTCTCCACCTGATGCTGGACTTAAGCTAATCAGCACTGAGCCTTCTGGGTCTGGAGGACTGCAACTCAGAACACTTGCATGCCTCTGAAGTCAGACCATTGGGGTTCAAGCCCTAACTGTGTACTTGCAATAGGCATGGCATTAGGCAAGTTATTTCATCTGAGCCCTTTTCTCCACTTGTTAAATAGGGATATTCAACAAACTTAGCCAAACATGCATGTCAAAGCATTTAGCATGGTACCTGACACTAAGAGTTTGATGAATTACAGCAATTATCAGTATTTTCAGTACTAATTTTAGCAGCTAATAGAAATATAAGGATGAAGAGCTGAGTCAGGTTCCCAGCATTCTTTTTGCTGGTCCCTCCTGAGTCACTCTGATACTTTTCCAAGGGTATCTGCTGACACCTTGGAGATAGCTGCATAGATGAGGCCCAGAGTGACCTTATAGTTTGGGGGAGTGCATGCTCCCGCTGCTGGACTTCCTCAGTATAATATAGATATCAGAGGGTTTCCTTACTACATGATTTGCTATTTCCAGATTTTTCTCTTGACTTATCAAAAGACCTTTGTTTGAGTCAGAACCTAAGCCTTTTTGCTCCCTGACTGTGATGCTCCCTCCTTCAAGCCCTTACCCCCTGCAGAATATCTTGTCCACTTCCAGAAAAAGAAAGCCATGGCTCTCTCTTGCCTGTCCACTATACCATGGGGAACATGAAGATCAGACTCCTATTCTACCCCTAGCCCCATATGCTGGACCTGACAAGCTAGGTCAGGGCAAGTCTCTGCCCCCAGTCTGTGTTCTCAACCAAAATGCTTTGCTGGCAACTTTGGGTCACTTTTTTTTTTTTTAACCTCCTGCTGTTAGGCTCCCCACAAGCCTGTTTAAAGTAAATCAGTCTAATATTTTTTTTTTAATCTAAATACCTAATGCTTGATTCTGTTTCTCAGAGACAGCAGTTCTTTCAGGCTGCTCAGCAGACACCCTATCAAATTAGTGGTCCTGAGATGCATGTTACAGGATTTTAGGATAGGAAATTAATTTCTCATCCAGGCTTCAAGGCTTGATGTATTTATGTTCTGTCATCTGGGACCTTGGATGTCAGAATTTTAAGGGACTTTAGACTCATTTATCCATCCTTTCACTCATTCCAACTGCCTGTGTTTATGCTTTAGGATTTAACACATTTTTTTTTTTAAGGAAGGGTTTTGTAGTTAAAAGGGTTGCAAATCACTGCTTTACCTCAAATCCCTTACTTTACCAAAGGGAAATTGAGACCCAAAGTGGGAAAATGGCCACTTGTCAGAGGCAATAGGTGATAGGGCTAGGACTGGACCCTGAGTCCTGCTCTACTTTTCCTCAAGTTTAAAATCAGCAAAACATGTCCTACCAGAAATTAACAGGTGGCATGGGGTGAGAGGAAAAGAGGGTGGGGAAGGCAGGAACACACTCCTCTCATATGGGAAAGGCAACCCAATCACATCTAAATCTGGGCCTTGCCCTAGAACTTACTGACCAGTTTTATTCAAGTAGAGTTAGGCAGCTACCCCTTGTTCCAAAGAGGTTGGAGGACCTAAGACTTCTGCCTTCAAACTGGGATAAGTTGTGTCCTTGAGTGACCAATAAGAGTATTTATCTGAAAATGGAACTACAATAACTATCTCTAAGAACTGAAAATTAAGAGATGATTCATGTAAGTCCTCATTTACATGCCTGGACATCAACAAAAGGCCTTTCTCTAAGAAGTCCAGGGGTCCAAATCATGAAGGAACAACTCTTCAGTCCTTACCTCTTGGTTCCTGGCAGCAGGATGAGGCAGAGAGTGCCTGAGCTCAGGCTGTGGTAGAGCTTCCCTATCTTCTGGCCCCAGTGCCAGGCTACTGTCTTTGGGTGGTCCACCTTCAGAGTCTAGGATCAAAGCCAAGTGTTGGTACTCAGCCAGAGTACCCTCTGCTTACTGTCAGAGGGGCTGCAACATTCTTTCTCAGGTTCTAGGGCTATGGGGTCCCATGAGAGGCTGTGTGTAAATCCTCAGGCTGAGGCTGGAACACACATTTTAGGGCTCCCTGTCCACCCTAGCATCCCCAGGCCATCAAGTCAGATTATGATGACAGGTGCTGTTCTTCCCTTCTGATGGGCCTTCCAGTGCCCTGAGTTAGGGGAACTGTAGCACTAATGAGAGCTCTAGTCTAGCCTCTACCATTAAGTAACTGTGACCTGGGGCAGTCACTCACCAGCTGACCTCTATTTCTCATCTGCTAAGTGTAGGAGGTTAGACAAGGACAGGGGTTCCCAAACTGTAGCCATTCACTTTCCACCTAGACACTTCTGTTTGTATCTCCCTGTAATGGTTTTTCTTAACAGTCACTTTCTCCCTTAATATTAACTAAATAATACTGTCCATGAAATCACACATTCAGTGTGGTGGTTGTATATTTTAATGAATGTTGATGAACAAGTCCATAACTATAAAAGTGAAAAAAAGTCCATCTATGACCACCAAAAATCATTTTGTATATGTACCACATTCTGGGAAACCCTAGATCACAAAAGACTTGTCCAGCTCTCTAGCCTTGTATTTAAGTCCCTCAAAGTTCCTGGGAGAGCAACCTGGAGTACAAAAAAAAAAATGATTTTAGCACATATTGGAGAGGGCAAGCATATGAGAGATCATGGAGAAAAAAATGATGTACCCAGGGCTGGAAGAAGCTAGAGAGAGAAGTAAGACTAGTGCCAGGGGAGTAACAAAAGACTGAAGGCTAAAGTGTCCCTTGAGCAGGACTCTCCTAATTTCCAAAAACGTCAGTAGGTCAATGTCCATAGCCAGTAAACCAAGTAAACCAGCTACCTTTCCCTGACCCCAGGATATACCCCTCCACTCACCTGCAATATCTGCTGTTTTGAGTGGGGTGGGTATGACTCGAAGTCCTGGGGGCCTTGCTTCAGGAGGTAAGTCCTGAAGCCATGTGTGGAGGTGCAGGGGGGTTAGGGTGTGCCTGCCTTTGAGCTTCAAGTCATTGCCTATAAGAATGTTGCGGGCCCTCTGGGCACAGGCAAAAGTTTTAAATTGTGAAAGCAAGAATACTCCCTTCTGTTAAGAAGGGCCATAAAACCAACCTGTTCACCAAGATAGAACACAACCAGGGTCAAGGAAAAGGGACAGAATGAATATCTGTTGACCTTGTCTAGTCCAGGAGGGCTTACTAGGGAACATTTTTTTTCTCTGACCTCATGTTATTACATGAGGTCAGAGAAAAAAAATCCCTAATAGACCCCCAGTACTTACTCAGGAAACAGTATTTTTTCTGCTGTCCACTTTTAAGATCTTTAGGCAAGATCACAGCTTCTAGGCCAAAAAAGAGGTTGGCCTATGCAACAGATGTTCTTGGAAGGTTTCAGTCACTCCAGAGAGATATATGGTACCTTGGTTCTCAGAATCTCGTTCTAGCTCCTCCATAAGGGTGTCACAATCAAGGGTGAGCTTCATCACAGGCCCCTGCATCTAACCAAGTAAAAGATGGCAATAGTGGTGGAAAATCACCACTTCAAACCCCAGGCTTGTTATATATTAGCAAGTAACTTAATTCTGTGGTTTCCTCATCTGTGTGAGGAGGCTACTGATAACTGCCTAACAGGACTGACTACAGTAGAGATTTAATAGGTAATACATAAATGTAAATATTTTGTGTAAACATATTATCTCCCTTTTCTCACCCTCACCACCTGGCAGTGGAAATCAGTTTCCTGCCTTCTACCTGATAGAGTTCTATTTACTCACATAAGAAACTTCAAAATACCACCATTTGATCCCCTGAAAGCTAAAGGAAAAGACAACCACAAAAAACCACCGTGAATAAATAATATGGGCTCCAAGTAGTGATAATGAGTACAAGGAAGACCCCATGTAGTCCAGGCTGATTTTGACAAAAACAAAAGCTCTCTGAAATAACTGTAAACAGAGGCTGTACTAGGCCAGGGCTGAGTGACAGTGCTGTTTTTTGCCCTCTCTGGCCACCCTACCTTGATAAAGTTATCTTCTACCAGAGTGCTGTCCAAGGACTCAATGGCCAACTGGGCAGCCTCCAGGACTTCGTACTATATACAGAAATGTGGCTGCAGGAAAAGCAAGATTTCCTTCCTTTGTTTTCCAGGCTACACTGCCAGAGAAGGGGCTGGAAAGGGGGTTAAGCTACAGTGGCCAAAGTCACTAGAAAGGATTTCCTTGCTGTGTTAGGCTAGACAGTGACTGAAATCGGGGTCTCACAGATATTTGTACACCAGTGTTCATAGCAGCATTATTCAGAATAGCCAAAAGGTAGAAACAATTCATCAATGGATGAAAGGATAAACAAAATGTGGCATAGTCATAAAATGGAATAATAGGCTTGAAAAGGAATGGAATTCTGACACATGCTTTAGCATGGATGAACCTTGAAAACATATGTACTAAGTGAAATAACCAAACATAAAAAGACAAATATTGTATGAATCCACTTACATGATGTACACAGAGTAGTCAAACTCATAGAGACAGAAAGTAGAATAGTGGTTACCAGGTCTCGGGGAGAGAAGACTGGGGAGTTAACAGTTACAGAGTTTCAGATTGGCATGATGAATAAGTTCTGAAGAAAATGTATTTGGTAGCACTAAATTATACACTTAAAATTGGTTAAAAACAAATTTATGTATATTTTACAAAAAAAGACTCATAGGAAGAAGTTAATCCTAAAACATACCCTTCCCATCCTTCAGTCTTTACTGACTTCCTGCTAAGACTATGAAGATGGAATAAGTCCTTTTAAATAGTATGAATTTTTTAAACCATACACAATAATTTTTTAAAAAGTAAAAGGGTTTATAGGGTTTTAATGTAAATAATAGACCAATGAACAAAACTTACTTCAAGAGACTGGTGAACTAACAATAACAATAACAAAAGCCCTGCCATAATGTTTTTCCCATATCTTTATCTAGCTATGAGCCACCTTTGTAGCCAAGTCCTACAGAGATTTCCCAAGACACGGAAATTACTGCTCTTTTTGAAAGGGCATTTTACCATTTAAAGCTGAGGTCACAAGCAGGAAGTCCATAGGCTACATTCAACCAGCAGCCATTATTTTTTCTCTGGCTCACATGATATTTAAGAAAATTGGAGCCAACCTATAGAAATTGACAGGTTTCTCAATTCTCAAATCAAAACAAAAAACTCAGAAGCTCTTTCATTAGTGGGTCCATATTCTTGTGAGTCAACAACTGAACTACTGCCCACCGACAGAGCATGGCTCACACTCCGGTTGGTGACAATCAGATCACATCACAATGGCCCCACCTGGCACCCGAATTTCTAGCACTAATTGAGAAGGTCAGACTGAGGAACAAAAATCATTGACCAGGACTGGGCCAAAGCTCTTAAACAGCCTCTTCAGAGCCCCAAGATTGCATTTTTTGCTAAATGGTCCAGCATAGACAGTTGATATCTCTGTCCACTTGAGCCTCATCTACAAGAAACAACAGAATACAGTGAGGAGGAAGATGTGGAATAAGAATTCAGTCAAATCTGAAGAAGCCATAAGTCAAAACATGAGATAATTCCACTTTAAGGAATTTCTCAACACAAATACCTGGCAAATTTGCAAGGACCTATATATAAGCATTATATATTATTTGGAATATTATTTGGATTATTTGGAATAGCAAACACTTATATAGCACAAATGATGAAAATAAATAGGTCTATTATACAACAAAATACTATAAAGTCATTGAAAAAAGGAAATAAGATTACTGACATGGAAAAATGTACAAGGTATATTGTTAAATGAAAAAAATCAAGTTGTAAAACAGGATATACATGGCCCATTTTTATAAAAGTGTATTTTCTAAAATGTTAAAATACACATACAAAATATCTGGAGAAATATATAGCAAACTTCATAAAGTATGTGTTACTTTCCTTAATAAGGGGAGATTATAAGTCATTATGTAAATCATCTAGTAGAATCATTTTGTTCAACTCACCCTTTTGTTCATCTCCTCAGTGAGGGTGGGTGAAAAGGGTTCAAAAGAGAACTGGACGAGGCTGAAGGGAAACAGGATTTCCACTCTGGCCTGCTCGAGAACCTTCAGAGGACAGCACAGCTTGGGTGAGGCAGAATCTAGTGTTCTCCTACAGCTCGTCACAATAATACAAACAATGTTTATCTTTTTACCCATGTTAAAAAGCAATATAGGGCTGATTTCAAGGTCTGGAAGAAAATGGTGATACCACACAGCCTCCTAGTAAAACCATATAATCAGTAAAGAGAATAAATAATACCACATTATGACCTTTAGCATTAGTAAGAAACAGAGATGATTATAACCTTCTGGTTTTCTCTAAGGAAAGAAATAAGCTCAATTCCAACAGAGCTCCCACCATCCCACAGTGTTGCAAGCTTGTGAGCAAAAAGAGCAAAGAGAAAAAGGATTAAAAAACTTTGGAAAAAATAAAACAAGAGCAAGGAAAGCTCAGATGAAGCACAGAATCACCCCCAGAAAGAAAAAATACAAGTAATGAAAACAGGTCAGGATTTGACACAGGGAAGAGACTTGGCAGCCTCAGAAGCAGTGCTTCTGGGAAGAATAATATATAGAGAAGAGGTAATAGCCCCTTGGAGAAACTGCAGTGAAGGGGAAAAAAGGAAATAAGGTAGAAAATGAAGGATCTCGCTGAAGAATGTATAAGATGAATGCCAAGCCTTCCAAAGGGCATTATAAACTCTTAATTCTTCCCAGTACCACAACTTCATTCTTAAAAGAAACAACACTTAAAAAAAAAAGTGTGACAGCAGGATGGTGTACAAGGAAGTTTTCAAGTCCTCACTCTCCCACAGACATGGAGTTAACAATACATAGACCAGTATACCTTTGTCAGAACTCCAGAGACCAAGTGAGAAGCTACAGCATCCAGACCAACATCAAATCAAGGAGAGACTCCATCCAAAGGAATAAGAAAATTTGTGGTGTTTTGCATGCCCCTCCCCCACCTGACCTAGCAAAACCCAGAGAAAATAAGTTCATGTTTTGATGTATCCCTTCTGCTTTACACATATAGCAATGATAGACAAAGAAAAAGAGAAAACAAAACATGAAGTCAGGTTAAAAACCATGATAAACATCTCCAAGAGCCAGAAACAACAAAGATTCGAAATGGTATACAAGGCCAAAGCCATAGGCCTGCTAGGCTCTGGAAGCAGATACTGGCAACTGACAGTTCTGCTCCTGTGGGGTAACTGGGATGAAAAGTTCTCCATTCAAGATATGAGACAAAAGCCCGATTTGCTAATAGTAGCCAGGGTTGCTGATGAAAAATAAAAAGCTTGTCACTTGCATGAGTTACAAAGGGCTACATTCCCCTCTGCTCACAATGCAACCTTCAAAGAGACAGCAGGTCACTCACCTCTTTATCTGAAAGGCACTTAATAGTTTGACAGTTTCTGGCAGAAGAAAGTTCACTAGTACATTCCTCCTGGGTCAAGAAAAGGAGCTTTTAACCCACTGACTCCAAGCGTTCTAGAACACTGCAAAGAGGTCAAGATAAGAATAACAGTTTCCCCAAACTCCCTAGTCTGTTTCTCTATAGACTCACACTAATAGCAACATGTATGTATTTAAATTAAAATGAAATAAAAAGTCAGTTCCTCACTTGCATTAGTCACATGTACTAGACACAATGTGTAGAACTTACTGAACAGCACAGGTATAGTACATTCCCACCACTGTAGAAGCTATATTGGACAATATTGCTCTGTATCACTGGTGGCAAACACAAGGCCCATGGACCAAATCCAGCCCTCCACCTTGTTTTATCTGGGCCAGCACCTTGTTTCTACTCAGCTGCAGCACTGAGCTCCTTGCCCCTAGTTAAGGAGTAGTTACATTTATACAGTCCTAAAATTACATTCAGCCCTTTGAAGGCAACCTTGAGGCTGATGTGGCCCCCAGTGAAAAGGAATTTGACACCCCTGCTCTATATGTAAGCAGAAGGATGAACAATGTCCTGGCTGGTGTGGCTCAGTGGATTAAGTGCTGGCCTATGAACCAAAAGGTCCTCAGTTCGAGTTCCCAGTCAGGGCACATGCCTGGGTTTTAGGTCAGGCTCCCCAGTTTGGGCTGTGTGATAGGCAACTGATCAATGTATCTCTTCTACATTGATGTTTCTTTCCCTCTCTTTTTCTCTCTCTTTCCCTCTCTAAAAAGTAAGTAAGGAGCCCTGGCTGGTGTGGCTCAGTGCCTTGAGTGCCAGCCTGCAAACCAAAGGATCACCCCTTTGATTCCCAATCAAGGCACATGCCTGGATTGCAGGCCAGGTCCCCAGTAGGGGGCACATGAGAGGCAACCACACACTGATGTTTCTTTTCCCTCTTTCTCCTTTCCATCCCCTCTAAAAAATAAATAAGTAAAATGTTTAAAAATAAAAAAGTAAATAAGGAAAATCTTTGAACAACAAAAGGATGAACAAGAAATATACTCAAAGCTCTGTATCAAAGCACAGGCTTCTAAGGATCTGATTTATGTATTATGGTGGAGACAAACCTCTTCTGAGCCTATGTTATTTTCCCCTCAAGCTGAACAATACATCAATGCTGTAAATGACTTTCATACACTTCTGTCTTCTAATCCAAATGCCCACTAGTCATCGTGTCCCCTAAAGCTACTTATTTCAATGTATTTCAGTGTCTTGCTTTGTTACAAAGGAAGTCACGCTAAGACCAGAAGGTGGTATTTTCCCCTGCATGATTTTTGTGATGGAAGAATGTTACAGTATTGGTAGACATTTCTCAACAGACTCAAAGGAGAAAAAAATACTCCAAGGTACTCCATTTGTCTTTTGTCCTGTTTGGAAATGAAAAATATTACCTTGTGCTTGGCTGCTGAACTGCTCCTGTGTACTGCTCAGCTCCTGGTCTGCTGCTTGCAGCTCTTGGTGACTAGCTAGTGCCTCCAGATTTAGTTCTGCAATCTTGAAGAAAATAAAGTGGTAAAGATCATCTAATGTCTTGAAAAGCATCTGAGGTTAAAAATTCCAAGAAAAAGCCACTGAAGTGGTGTTCCCTGCTTCTGTAGACATTGGCTTTGCCATTACCATAGTCCCAGGCTAGTTACCAGGTAGTTTCTGATGGCTTAGACAGAATGGCAATCTGTTACCAGCTGTTGCTGTTGCCACATGAATATGGAAACCAGCCAAGTAGTGCTAAGTGAAAAGGGATGGCAATTCTGGCTCATCATTCATTCCTTAGTCACTTAAAATTTACTCCTCTGCAAACATGCAATGTTTAGAAATGATAAAAGAATGACTTTTGCAGCAACATAAAAAAAAGACTTTTTATTGGGTTATTACAAAACCATAAAGTCTATTCTAGTTTAGTCTGCTTTCATGCAGTGGGAGACAACTTGTGAGAAGTAATGTTGAGAGTGAGATAAACTTTTTATTTAGAATGAGATTAACAGAAAAATCACAAAGAGAGTACAGGCTTCCCATTTTCAGCTATGATTAGTATCTTACATTAATATACTGCATTTGACAATTAATGAACTACTATTGATATGTTATTAACTAAAGTCAGATTAATTCAGATTTCTTTAGGTTTTACCCCAGTGAGATACAATTTTCACTGGAATCAAGTGACAGCATACTACAACACAATGGTTCTCAAAGTGTGGTTTGAGAACTGGGGGTTCCAGAGACTCTTTCAAAAGTTTATGAAGTACTCTCTTCTGTAACTACACAACACAGTAAAGTAACTTATTTTCTATTAAGCTATACATGGAAGAGATTTGTAAAATATGTGAAATGATACTTTTCACACTAATTTTTTTGAAAATGTTTTTCTCAAAAATTTTTTGTTAGCATAACTTTTTGATATTTTAAACAAATTAATAAATATTAAGACTATTTTCCCTCATATTTAATTTCTAAATGGTAAACATTGACAGATGTTGTCCACATGAACAAAAGCCCTCTACAGGTAAGTAAGTCCTGAGGCCAGAAATTTTAAAATCTCTGATGTGGTTTAGAGCAGGGGCTGTCATATTCCAGTCATTATATAAAGTTCAACCCAATGCCTGCTTTTTGGAAAATAAAGTTTTACTGGAACACAGCTGTGCCCATTCATTGACATATGTTGACTAGCTGAGATAGAGACAGTATGACCTATATATAAAGCCTAAAATATTTACTATCTGATCTTCATAGAAGTTAGAAAGTCTGCTAACCCCTAATGTAGAGCAAAGCCAGGGTTTGCACCCTGGCTCCAAGATAAGTTATCTAACCTTTCAAAACCCTTGGATGCTCATATATAAAATTGAGGTGATAATAAAAGTTAACCCGTAGGGCTGCAGTACAGATAAGATCACAGATACAGAGCATTTTAAAATAGTATACTTAGTAACATCTCAGTGAATGGTGGCTATTGTTATTTACATGCCCAATATATATTTTAGAATGTCTTTCTATCACCATGACACAAAACACTCTTCTGGTTATTATCCTGCATAGTCTACAATTTATTTCATCATGGAATCATAACAGAAGCTTTCATGCAATGGGACAATCTAATATATTAGAATGAGTTACAACAAGGTCAACTAGAAAGTATGTCCTCTTCAAAAGTCTCCTTTGTGTGCTGCTCTAATCTACATCCACTGCACTGCTGCCAAAAAGGTATGCTCCCCCACTGACTGCAAGAGCAAAAATCTACATAGATTTTTATATTACAAGTATTGGCATCAGCTACAATGACCATACACATTATGGTGCTTAATATAGTATTCAAGGATCTGTGCTAACAGCTTTTATACATAGTATCTCATTTACCCTTAACAGTGTCCCAGAGAAGTGTGTTCCCATTTCATAGATCTAGAAACTGAACTTATTCAGAGAGATTGACCTAGATCACATAGGTAGACATAGTAAAACCTATATTTAAAAACAGACTTCAGAGACTACACACACTTCACCACTACATTATGCTAGTGATACAGGTCTTCATTCCGCATACAGACTCAGCTTGAATTACACTCTCGTTTCTGTAAAGAAAGGTAACAACAGAAGATGGTAGTCTGTGACTATCTGTTTTAGTCCCATAATTTTAAGAAAAGCAAACACACATGTCAAAGATGCTAACCCTTTTTGAGCCATACTTAAGGAAATACTGGGCCAATTCAAGGGTTGTTTTAGCATCTGTGGCATCATGACCACGTGGCATCATGTGGCAACCTATCTGGACTCTGTATATCCTTCCTTGAAAATCATAAAATTGACATACCTGGGAGTACTTTCTAATGATAGGTTCTTTCAACCACCTCAAATATTCTGGTTACATGTAAAATTTCAGCATTCTAATAATCAGATGTGTATCACAGCAATCAAGATTTCTTTATTCCTAAGTGCCAGGACCTGAAAGAGGTACTGAGGATGTAGAATAATCAGAAATTACTTTGTCCACAGCATATCTTCTGGACAAAGGGCTACCCTATAAAAAATCTCTTACCCACTCTTTGCTCCTTTTGTCTCATTTCTTAGATGTAACCATTGTTCAAAGTTGCATTCCAGAAATTTTCTATTTGTATATGAGTGTCTATATGTACTTAAATTCTTTCTTGGTTATTTTTTTAAAACCTTAAAAATACATATGTTTATGTTAAAAGATATATATGTAAATCTAATCTACATCATATCACTGTCTACACATCTATAGATCTTGTTCTGATTTCCATTTTTATTCTCAGTAGTATCTCAGAGAGATTTCCCTATTAGCACATAGAGATTCTGCACATTCTTTTCAACAGTAACCAAGTAATACAGATAACCATAATTTAGTCAACCACTCCTATAGAATAGTTGCAGTTTTGGGGGCCATTTACTATAATGAATATGTTTGTAAGTAAATGTAAATTTAAGTAAGTAAGTAAAGTAAGTAAATGTAAATTTAAGTAAGTAAATTTTATTCAATGTAAAAATGTTATGCTTTGAAATTTTAGTTAATTTTTATGCCCCTTAGTGTCCAGATCTACCCATCAACCCACAGCTATGCATATAAAACCCTTCTTGTATTCCTACAATTTTTTCTTGTCTGTGTCATACTTCTTTCCAGAGTTAGGATCCTAGGAGTCATAAAAAGTAAAGAGAATAATGTTTACAAGCTACGGGGGAGAACTTAGACCCCAAATTTTTCAATATGTATTAAATAATATACTATACACTAACTTATGTGCAATTTTGTCAGAAGACACTATAATGTGCAAACAAACCTACCCCAAAATAGCTTTGGCTAAGAACTTTAGCATAAGTCTTCTGCCCTGCTCTCTGACATAAAGCAATGATGTATCAATAACATATGGATATATCATCTGAGGAGGAAAGAGAATGGAATGAATAGCATCCTATGCTGAAGGAAAAAAACAAGTGGGCTGAGGAAAGAAGAGCCCCAGACTTCATGTTTGAGATAAACAGAACAGGCATATATACTAGAAATACTAAGTCCTACATCAGTGGGACTCACTGTCAATGCTTTGAGATCCAAGTCTAAGGAGTTGCCCACTAACACAGCTTTAAGAGGAAGTAGTGCTTTTAACTGTCTCTGGATATCTTTGAATTTGGTTGTTACTGGGTTCAGCATCTTTTTCATGATTCCTGAGAAACTTTCAATAAAAAAAGAAAAATGGACAAGCTAGCATATTAACAAGTTTTCCTCTATAAAAAGTCATTTCAAAAGAATATTTTTTTAAAAAATTAATATATGTTCAGCGTAGAAAGGTTGAAAATACAAAGCAAAGAGGAAATTAAAAGTTACCCATAATTCCACCACCTGGTGATCATCAATTTTTACATTTTGGTAAATATCCTTTCCTATTTTTTATTATATTCATTTATATATTTCCTTATTGTAAAGTGTAATCATAATGCATATGCTACTTTATGGCCCTGGCTGGGTAGTTCCGTTCGTTAGAGCATCTACCTGAAGTGCCAAGGTTGAGAATTTGATCATGATCATCAGGGCATGTATGAGAATCAACCAATGAATATATGAATAAGCATAACAACAAACTGATGTTTCTCTGTTTTTCTCTCTCTCAAAATCATTAAAATAAGTAAATAAATAGATAGATAAGTAAATAAATAAAGAGCATTATTTCAATATGAAAGGGTGTGGGTTCAATCCCCAATTAGGGTACATACAAGAATCAAAAATTAATTAATGCATATGCTACTTTGTAACATGATTTTATCACTTGCCATATATCATGAACATGTTTTCATATCAATACATCTATTTCAGCACATTCTTCTAAAAGAATACAGAGTGCTTCATTATGGATATTAACATTTTAACCAATCACCTACTTTTCAGATATTTATATTCTCTAATTTTGCAATGCTATGAAAAACACACACATACATCTTTGGCTATTTCCTAAGAATACTAATTATTATGTCTACTAATAGGACAATCTTTTTTTTAATTAATTTTTTGAAAGATTCTATTTATTCTTAGAGAGAAGGAAAGGGAGGTTGCCTCTCATATGCACCTCAGCTGGGGACCAAACCTGCACACCAGGCATGTGTACTGACTAGGAATAGAACCAGTGACCTTTTGATTTGTGGGATGACAGTCAACCAACTGAGTCACACCAGTCAGGGCTGATTCATTTTTAGAGAAAGAGAGAGAGAAACATCGATTTATTGTTCCACTTATTTATTCATTCATTTGTTAATTCTTGTATGAGCCCTGACAGAAGATTGAACCTGCAACCCTGAAGAACTGGGACAACGTTCCAACCAAACAAACTACTGACCCAGGGCCTAGAACAGTCTTTATCATTACAATGGCCTCTCAGTACCTAAGTAAGCATGAATCTATAGCTGCAACTTCAATGGGCAGAAACAGTAACGTTTCACTGGCTTTTCTATACCTAATCACTATAGTACGTGCATCTGAAATTATATGCTAATCTCTAGAAAGATAGGCACATTTTTGAGCTTCAAAACTGTTACAAGAAAACTTAGTTCTGTTTGTTTTTTGAGGTAAGGGTATTCTAGCCTCTAAGATTATTTGATTGCCCAATAATGATTGACAGATTTTTCAGATGAGGTCTTAGCAGAAAGCAAAGCTCCAGCTGTTTGACAGTTGCTAGATAATGAATACAACTGGGAGATTCTATGACAAGGGAGTAATATGCTGTTGACAGAAGGAAGACTAGAGAGCAAGAAGGGTAACAGCATTAAACACTGGCATTGTGTAATTTCAGTATTAAAACTACAGTTGCGGTGCCCAACCTTTTCTTTGACAAGAAATAAGTAGGTCATACCTAACTAAACAGAAGCTACCATTCCTGTGAAGTCTCATTCCACTCTAATCTGACAACTCTAGGGAGAGCTAAGGCAAGGTGAAAAATACCTGGCAAGGTAGTCCAAAATATTTTTGTCAGGTTTAACGAGTTCATCCATAACACAGCCACCTGTTCAACGACAAGTGAGATGCATGTTAGTTCTCTCCCCTTAAATGTGAGGCACTGAAAGACCAGGATGTAGTCAAGCTGCTGCACTGTGGGACTGTGACACAGCCCATTATTCAGACTATTTCAACTGCCATCTATCCTTATCTACTGGGGTCCCTGTGACAATGGCACAGCCTTTTGCTGATCTGAGAATACAGTATAATGAAATTATTGCTAGGCAGGCTGCTGAACATTATACTCTGGGAAAGAAGTGTGTAAGGAAGATGAATGGAAATAGTAACATCAATTATAATTATATCACTTATTGAATGTATACTACATTCCAATATTCTGTTAAGTACTACTAGTAAGCTATTCTTATTAGCACACTCTATTATCATCTAATATAGTACTAAGCCATTTTATATCCACCACCTCCTAATAACCCTTTGAGGTAGCCTCAGTTATCATCCCCACTCCACAGAGAAAAAAGCTGACACTGAGGAGGGTTAGGGAATTTCTCCAAGATGACACAGCCAACTATTGGACAAAGGCCAGGATATCCACCATGATATAACAGACTCCAAAACTTTAATGCTTACTTACTCTGTTAAGAATTGAGACGACGTCATCTAAGCCCTAAGTGAGAGGGGATGCACTGTCTTTGAAGGGAAACTTACTAATTAGATAAAGTAAAACACAAAAAAGCTTAAGCAGGAAAATCTTACTTCAGATCTTAATGTGCAAAATTAAGCCTAACTGATGGTAACTGAGATAAAGGCTTTAAGGGAACAACAAAATACTTGTTTGATAGACAGGAGTAATGTACAAAGGTTTCATTAAACATAACAACTAGAAAAAACTTACGTGGTATTTCTTCTTCATCCTGGAACACAGATCTAAGTTTTCTAAAATGTGAGTAAAAGGGTTTACCTTCAGTTATTTAAAATACTGGAATTGAATGCACTGGTTCACTGGTGCACTAGATTCAAGACAACATCTATTGGACCCTAGTTTGTAATACTCCAGGTGAAACAGTAGTACTTACCATTTCACAGTCAAGTGCAAAGAGAGGACTTTTGTCTGTTAGAGAACCATTATATTTGGTAGGTACAAAGTTTTTACACTCAGGAAAACCTACGAGGAAAAGGAATAAAATATCTGCCTTTACAACCAGAGATGGTAGTAAGCATCACTAGATTCATCCTGGAAAAAGTGAAATAACACATTTGCTGGGGAGTCACTTCTAGATTCTGGGAGAATAATAATGTACACTAATGTTATTGGGAAGACTAGGGCCTGGACTTTCTGACAGTTACCAAGTAATAATTTTTCCTATTAAAAAAGATATTATAACTAAATTGTAGCTAAATCCAAATTCACTAGACCTTTTCCAAGTAGGCACTAAGGAAGGATGAATAAACTATGTAAAAGACTGGATGTGGCATTTTTCTGGACTACAAAGCAAGAAAAAATAAGGATGACATTCTACCATAGTAGAGATCTAAAAAAGGATTTCACTGTAAGCAAAAAGTTTATGTAATATTCACCATTGGACCCCTGCATCCACCTCTACCCTGGAGATTTCTCAGAGACCTCTATCTAGAAATGTGCCTCCCTTTTCTGGAATCATAGCCTGAAAACTCCCTACAGAACTTCAGCTTTAGGCCTAGGTTACCCTCTGTCATCAATAACTAGGCATATAGCCCTGGCTGGCGTAGCTCAGTGGATTGAGCGTGGCCTGCGAACCAAAGTGTTGCAGGTTCGATTCCCAGCCAGGGTACATGCCTGGGTTGCAGGCCATGACCCCCAGCAACCGCACATTGATGTTTCTCTCTCTCTCTATCTCCCTCCCTTCCCTCTCTAAAAATAAATAAATAAAATCTTAAAAAAAAAAAAAACAAACTAGGCATATTTAGCTCAAAGGACCTGAAGCATTGGGATAATTGAAGATTCCTACCTTCAGACATAAGCTGAAACAGTAAAGGTCATATACCTAGATCTTGTTATACTAGAAACAAAAGGAGAATTTGAAAAGCTTTGACCAGTTTCTATGTCATGGTACCCTGAAATTTCCAACTGATTATAATTAAAATAATCAAAATATGATCTAGATCAGAAAAGAGAGGCATCCTCAAATCTGGAAAACATTATGCTTGCTGCACTCCTCACCTATATTATCAGTAGCAATAATAACAACAAAAAAATCCTAATGTTTTTAAAGCACTATGTGCTAGACACCATGCTAAACACTTTTATACATTAACTCATTTAATCCTCATACAAGCCTATGATATATAAACCATTTTACAAATAGCTTTTTCATTTAAATAAATTTATTTTAGAAGGAAATTTGTTTTCAGAATATGTAAACAAGTCAATCATAAAAAGACAACCCAATTAAAAAATGGACCCAGAATCTGAAAAGATACACAAATAGCCAATAACCATAGAAAACAGTGCTCAACATGATCAGCCATCACAGGAATGCAAATCAAAATCATGAGATACCACTTCACACCCACTATGATGGGTATAATAAAAAAGACAATAACAAGTTTTAGAAAGGATATACAGAAATTAGAACCCTCATACTCTGCTGAAGGAAATATAAATGAAATACTGATACATGCTACAACATGGATGAACCCTGAAGACTTGATGCTAAAGGAAAGAAGCCAGTCGCAAAAGACCATGATTCATTTACATGAAATGTCTACAGCAGGTAAATCTATAGACAGAAAGTAGGTTAGTGGTTGACTACAGCAAAGGGCATTGTGGGAAAAACAATAGTATGGGGTCTCTTTGGCGGTGATAAGTGTCCTTCCCTGACTGATGTAGCTCAGTGGATTGAGCTCAGCCTGCGAACCAAAGGGTCATCAGTTCGATTCCCAGTCAGAGCACATGCCTGGGTTGCAGACCAGGTACTCAGTATGGAGCACTCAAGAGGTAACCACCCATTGATGTTTCTTTCCCTCTCTTTCTCCTTCTCTTCCCCTTTCTCTAAAAATGAATAAATAAAATCTTTAAAAAAGTGTCCTAAAATTGATTGTGGTGATGGCTGTAAAACTCTGTAAAAACATACTAAAAACTATTTAACTATATAGTTTCTTTACTTTTTTGAACTGTATACTTTTGAAGTATACACTTTATTGTATGGTAGGTTAATTATATATACTTTAATAGAGCTGTTTTTTAATAGAGAAAAAAGAAAATGTAACATCACTGCTGTGATTAAAAGGGAATAAAGAAAATCAAATCAGATCAAATCACTTTTATTAAATTCTTCTTATGTAACTGACCAAGGCTGAGCATAGGCCTGCCTGCTTTATTCACTAAAGAAAATGGAGGTGGGGTGGGGTGGCAGCAGGGTTAGAAGTGTTAAAGACATATTGACTTTTTAATATATTAAGAAGAAATGAAAGAAAACCAAAAAAGGAATAACTTTCTTATTACATATTTCAATGTTATTTAAGGTCAAGTTCATGTACTACCTCAAATCATCACTTTATCAACCATGGTACACATCATACACTTTAGGAAACACTGCACTTGAAGAAATTCCCCATTAACAGAAGATGGAGTAAGTCACTTGGATCTTTCAACAGTAATATTTTTAAATAAACAGCTAGACATGCTTACATTATTACCAACATCAGATTAAGTGCAAACTGACCTTGCAATGGAAAATGAAACACTTTCATCTCTTCCTTAGTGAGCATGCACTGCATCAAGCACACCTTCTTAGAGCCATAATTCTGAATGATGGGGTCATTTTGCAGGTGGATGCTGGCTTTTGAACTGGCACAAAGTAAAGACCCTGAAACAAGAAGGACAACTGAATGTTATTTCATTCAATTTGTGTTTAAGAGACCTTAGAGGAGATGGCTCTTAATATTGCAAAGGGTAAGATGGTGAAAACCAAAAGATGTGTAAGACCCAAAACCAACTTTTAAGGAGCTTTCATTCTAAAACAATTATAGGAACACAAAGAAAAAATAAGTTTCTAACAGTCTATAATAACAAGGGCTATAAAAGGAAAAGGAAGAGACTACATTGGTTGGGGTGGTCAGAGATTATTCAAGAAAATAAAAGATTAGCCAGGACTTGAAGGCACAATTTCAGGTAACTGGTATATTAGACCTGTCTGTTACAGTGTCTGCCACTCCTAACTACCCATTCTAGCTAAATCTACTCCATCCCTGGCTACTTAATAAAGCACCAGCCTAGCTTAGGAGGGACCCATCCATAAACTGACCAATGACTTGCTATTCCTTATCAAGACATGTTCAAAACCAAAAAGGGTAATCATCTAAGCCAGGGGTGTAAAACTCATTTTCACCAGTGGCCAAATTAGCCTTGCAGTTGCCTTCAAAGGGCTGAAGGCAATTTCAACTCCTTAACAGTTAAGGAGTAATTACATCTATACAGTCCTAAAATTCTTTTGGCCCTTTGAGGGCAACCACGAAGTTGATGTGGCCCCCAGTGAAAATGAATTTGACACCCCTGATCGAAGCTGATCAGATTGTTTGTTCCACAAGTGAACCAGGAAATACAGAAAGCTGACCAGTTAAAAGAGAACAGAAAACAGAGAAAATGCTATGAAAGGGAGAAAGAATAGCAGCTCTTCAATAGAGGCACTTAAGATTCCTGATAGCTTTCTAGTCCACATACATCCTTCAAGTAATATCTGTCTCAGCTTAAGGTAGCCTGAATGAGTTTCTGGTCCTCACAACCAAAACAGCCAATCTCACAAGTAGAAAGAAGGCATTCTGGGAAATACAGAAATGTATAAAGCAAAGCTGGCATGAGAGTGACTAGACCAGATGGGGAGAAAACAAAAGATATGTGTAGGAGGGCAGCATAGGTAACAAGGCTGAGAGAAGAAAAGTAAACTGAAGACCAATGTGAATGTCTGGCTCAAGAGTTTGAACTTTAGTCCATCATTTAATGTAAAATGGGGAGCAGAAGAAAGTTCCTGAGAATGAAAGTGGCATAACCAAATCATATTTTCAGAAAGATATACCTCACAAGTACGCAGGAGATGGAGCAGAGAGAGGATGGTGGGAAGGAGGAAGGAAAAGGACTGTATAAAAGAAACAGAACCCAGAAAAGCTATTAGAGCACAGTGATAGAACAATTCAGTCAACAAAATACATACTGAGTACTTACATGCCTGACATTGTCCTAGCCACTAGAGAATCCCCAGTAAACAAAATCAACAAAATTTTCCATGGAACTTTAATTCTAGTTGGGAAGATGAACAATAGACAACATAAAACAACAGGTAAGGATAAAGACTATGGAGAAAAGTAAAGGCGATAAAGAAGGGGAAGGAGTCCTGGGTCAGCAAAATAATTATTGTCATATTATAATGATCAAGGTAGGTCTCTCTTATAAGATGATATCTGAACAGAGATGCAAAGGAGCAAGGGGAATGAGCCGTGCAGATTTGGTATGGGGAGCTAAAAGAAAAGTAATTATTAAATTCAAGACTGGTGTCTTAGAGAAAAATGGTACCAAAAGAAAAGGGGATTTGAAGATGGAAGTCTGTTATTGAGGGATGAGAAAAATGCTTTTAGCTATGTTATAATAGAAGGGACAGTGGAATATCCAAGTAGCAGCATCCAGCAGTATAGGGAACCATTTCACATGGCAGTGGTGAATGTAGCCCAGCCCCTGACTTGGAAAACTGGTGGAGGGAAAGTCAGCACACAGGACCCAAGCCCATAGATTGGTTTTCCCATGGGGAATCAGGCCTGCATAGTTCCTAAGCAGCTTTGAGGCTTGCTTTTTGCTAAAACTCCCTCACCCTGAATTGAGGCAGCAAATGTTTACTACATATCTATAAAGTTAACATCCTAAAATCTATGCTAAACCTCCCAAGGATGGAGTGTAACCAGTTCAACCACTTTTTCCTTTGCATTTGCAAATATCCTTTTTCTTTGTAGTAATTAACAACCTCCTCTCCTTTGTTATCTGTAAAAGATAATCACCTAAAGCAAGTCTGTGCATAGCAAATGAGGACCATCCTGGATGTAAGAGGACCATCCTCAATGTAATGTGCCCAGAAAAGCAATAAAAGCTTGTCCAAGCAGGGGTCAGGGCCCTCTCTCACAGAGAGAGTGGTTGTGCCGTCCCTTTTTCTCCACAGGACTTCTGTAGTCTGTGTGAATGTGCTGGTCACAGCCACAACACATGGACCCCAATGGCTGGAGTGTGCATCACAGCAGGCCACTGAAAATGCAGGTCTGGAATCTGGGACATCAGGTCTAGAGATAAAAATATCCATTGAAGAGTAATAGGTAAACTTAGAAAGAACAGATGAAGATTCCAAAGGAAAGGTTGAATTCAAGGAAGATCAGAGTGCTAGACTATACCTTGGGAACTCTGACATTTAGGATGGGAAAACAAAGCAAAATCTTTAAGAGGACAGAGAAGTAGCCATAACCCCCTGACTCCTCAGTGCCTATAGAATAAACTCTAAAGCCCTTCACATGGCAGTTAGAGCCCACAGAACAAAGTTCTAACCTGCCTCTCAAGCTTCATCTCTCACCATTCCCTTGTCTTAATCCATCCCTGCTCCCATCCAAGCATCCCCAAAATCTGTATTCTTCAGTCACATCAAATTTCTTTTTCCTGATTATCTATTTTGTTTTACAACTCAACATTTTTACATGATCTTTGAAATGTCATAAGACTACTTTGTGATTTACCATATTTTGCCATGTATAATGTGAACTTTCTTGCCCAAATTTTTGAGGGAAAAATAAGGATGTGCATTATATGTGAGTAGTACTAAGGATGTGCATTATACCTGGGCAGTACTAAAACGTGGGCACGCACTATACACAGGAGTGCATTATATACGACAAAACTCGGTACTCAAAAATGTTTATAATACAACTCAGGTTCAATCAAACACAACTGCAAGTCAGATTTGAGCATCTGCCAGAGAATAATGGAAGTGTAGAAAATTACATAGATGCCTTTGAGATAGAGGATAATAGGAAGCACAGTCCTGGAGATGGGAAGGAATCACTGGTTATTTCTCACCCCTTTTCCATGTCCCTTGAGTAGAACACAAAAAAGGCATCACTGAACTTATGCTTAACTTACTATGTGTAATGAACTCTGATAAGCTCTATCCTATTCCATCACTCACCTCCTTTCCTCCCCACAACAGGTTAGCTATACTTTGCTTGTAGAACACAACCCACTGATTGAAAAACACTGCTATCATCGATATTTTATCTTTTAACTGGCCAGCATCTAAACCTCCTGCTTATTTCCACCGTGAGTAATGACAGGTATCCCTTATATCAGTCAAAGGCAAGATCCTCCTTCTCTTCTGTACACCTGTAGGTACCAAGGCCCAGTGACAGTTTATAAATTATTCACAGTAATTTATAAGAATCCAATGACAACAGTATCCAGGGAAAGCCTTAACTATCTAACATAACCAGATTGTTTTTAAGGCATTAAATCATAGCCAAGATTTCTGCTGTCTAATCTCCCTGGATACTTACCCATTTTTTCCTTTAAAAAACTGATTTCTGCTCAAGTTAGTTAGAACTGAGTTTTGTTGCTTGCAAGAATAAAAATGACTGATAAACCTACTTACAAGCATATCCCTAATATCTTTCAGAATGAGTAAATCATCAAACCAGACTCACAGCCATACCTTTCATTGTCCTGGATAAATCCTCATTTGTTTGTTTCTTTTGCAGTCCAATGATATCAGCTAGAAAATCAGATGATGGAGAAGGCAAGCAGAATTTCTGCAAATACATAACAGGTTTTTTTTTTAAACAAAAATGCTTGAAAGCAGTTAAAATACTGTCAAAGACCTGAACTTTCATTTCATTGTCAGCTTAGCACTACAGAAGGTCTGGATCATATTCACTTGCACTGTAAAATGAGGACTGTTTCCTTAATGTGTAAAAGTGACTATGTACATGAAGCCACATTTATCCTACACTAGAAATTTTCTTTGCTTCTTCAATTATTCATTGTAAGTAAAAGGCGAAAGATTTATACGATCTGAAGAGAAACCAGAGTATAATTTTTATTCATTGTAAGTAAGATAAACATTAACAGAAATGTGTAACTTAGAAAAGTCCCTTATATTTTTTTAAAGCACTCCTAAATCTATTACTTCAGCAGAAAACATGCCAGATAGGTTAGGACAGATGACACAGCAAAGCAAAGTAGTTGGAAGCTCCAGGCTTAGGCTCACCAGAGTGTAAATTCCAACGTCGCCACTTGCTATACCTTGGACAACTCACTCAGTTTCTCTATGTATAAAATGGGAGTAAAAATATCTATCAGGACTATTGAAAGAATTAAAGATGATAGACACAGCATGATTAATGTACGGCCTAACACATAGGTAGTGTTCAATAAATGAAAGCACAAAAAGAAATGGAGACCCAAGAAAACTAAATTAGGGCTCACCAACTCAAATGTACTCAGGGGTAAATGGATGAAACAGCCCCAAAGAAACTGGTGGAAGTTATGGGAGAATGGAGAGCACATATCTCTGCCAAAGATGATAGCTGCTATTCAGCTCCAGATACTTTCTAAGGGGTCTCAAGAGAGGCTGAAATACAGAGCACATATAAATTTACAATTCTTAAAAACACCATATCCCAAATAAAGCAAGACAAAATCACCATGAGAACTATAGACTGCAATCTGGGAATATGTGTTTTGCCTAGATTACCAAAGAAAATCAAAGACAAACCCACTTTGAACACGATATCTGCATCTTAGTCTTTTCTCTTTCTACAACTTCTATCACTTTTTCAATCAGGCCGCCAGGGAGCATGGTTTGGGACATGTGCACTAATTTCTGGGTGGGAGCACTTGACTCAGGCTCCAATATGTTTTCTTAACTCACATGTCTTAATGCCTTTTGGAGAAATCCAAACTCCAAATAGAACCTGTAAAAGTGTAGCTGACTCATTCCCTGAAGTACAAAAACCACAACGTTGTTCAGGTGGTTTTGGTGAAAAAGCTGGCCCCATCTGTTGAAAAAACATCAAACCAACATAGCTAAGGTTGATACTGTCAAGTCAGTTACAGGCATACAGAAAGGAAGTGTGGACAAAAGCAGTGAGCAACAGCTAAAGGAGTTTATCATGACTCACTCACTGCCTGGGAATGGAAAACTGCTATTACTGCCCAGGATTCAAATACAGATCTCTTTGAGAATTATTATTTATTACATTCGAATCTAGTAGAATTAACATGTGAAAAGCATTGTATTCAAATCCAAAATTCTGCTAAAATTTGCTTCAAATCTTAAATTCAATTGTTTTAATAAGAACCAATGTCACTTCACAAATCCCTTCAAAATCCCAACTTGCTTGATGGTTCTTCCTAAGCAGGTAATCATATGACTGGCTGCAAGAAGGCTGGTTGTAGATAAACTGACAGACCAATAGCAATATTTGTTAATGCAGAAGACGGGTTTTGAGGTAGCCAACCCCACCCCACAACAAGACAGTTGTGTGCACTTGAAAATCTCTCTATTGCAAGCCCTGGCCAGGTAGCTCAGTTGGTTAGAGCATCGTCCTGATATGCCAAGGTTGCAGGTTCAATTGCTAGTCAGGGCACAAATAAGAATCAACCAATGAGTGAATAAATAGGTAGAACAACAAATCAGTGTTTCTCTTTCTCTCTGTCCCTCCTTTTGTCTTTCTAAAATCAATAAATAAAAAATTTAGAATAAAATAAAAAGGGAGCACCTTGATTTAAGTATAAAAAAGAGAAAAATCTCTCTATTGATACATGTAAAAAAGCAACTTTCATTACACATAATTTTATTTTTTGTCTTTCAATTATAGTTGACATTCAATGTTATTTTTAATACATTGAAAAATGTATTAAAAATACATTTTAATGATTATGCTATTACAGTTGTCCCATTCTCCCCCTTTATTTCCCTCCACCCTGCCCACCCCCTACCACTAGCATTCATGTTCATGGGTTGTACATATAAGTTCTTTGATTTCTACATTTCCTATGCTATTCTTAACCTCCCTATTTTCTACCTACCATTTATGCTACTTATTCTCTGTACTTTTCCCCCTTCTCCCCCTCCCACTCCCCCAGTGATACTGATAACCCTCCATGTGATCTCTATTTCTGTGATTCTGTTCCTGTTTTAGTTGTTTGCTTAGTTTTGTGTTTTTTTAGGTTTGGTTGTTAATAGCTGTGAGTTTGTTGTCATTGTAGTGTTCATAGTTTTGATCTTTTTCTTAGATAAGTCCCTTTAACATTTCATATAATAAGGGCTGGGTGATGATGAACTCCTTTAACTTGACCTTATCTGGGAAGCATTTTATCTGCCCTTCTATTATAAATGATAGCTTTGCTGGATAGAGTAATCTTGGATATAGGTCCTTGCCTTTCATGACGTCAAATACTTCTTTACAGCCCCTTCTTGTCTATAAGGTTTCTTTTGAGAAATCAGCTGATAGTCTTATGGGAACTCATTTGTAGGTAACTGTCTCCTTTTCTCTAGCTGCTTTTAAGATTCTCTCCTTATCTTTAATCTTGGGTAATGTACTTATGATGTGCCTTGGTGTGTTCCTCTTTGGGTCCAACTTCTTTGGGACTCTCTGAGCTTCCTGGACTTTCTGGAAGTCTACTTCCTTTGTCAGATTGGGGAAGTTCTCCTTCATTATGTTTTCAACTCCTTGGTCTTCCTCTTCTCATTCTAGGACCCCTATGATTCAGATGTTGGAACGTTGAAAGATGTCCTGGAGGTTCCTAAGCCTCTCCTCATTTTTTTGAATTCTTGTTTCTTCATTCTGTTCTTGATGAATATTTCTTTCTTCCTTCTGCTCCAAACCATTGATTTTAGTCCTGGTTTCCTTCCTGTCACTGTTGGTTCCCTATAGATTTTTCTTTATTTCACATAATGCAACCTTCATTGATGCCTGGGTCTTTTTTATGTTGTTGAAGTACCCAGTGAGTTCCTGGAGCATCCTGATAACCAGTGTTTTGAACTGTGTATCTGATAGGGTGGTGATCTCTTCATCGTTTAGTTGTATTTTTTCTGGAGCTTTGAACTGTTTTTTCATTTGGAGCATTTTTTTGTTTGTTTGTTTGAGCATAGCTGTTATGTAATAATGCAGTAAGGGGCAGAGCCTTAGGTATTCACCAGGGTGGGGCAACCCACATAACTGCGTTGTGGTGCAGTATGTGGGGGAGGGGTCCAAGAGGAGACAGTACCACTTGCTCCACTCTCCACTGGTATTCAGTCACTTCCTAGGCTACCCACAATCAAATTGGGCCTTTCTGGTGTTGATTCCTAGGTGAGTGGGTTTGTTTACATTCCAGGACCCTGTGGGTCTCTCCAATGAACTCTCTCTCCTGTGAGGCTCAGAGTTTCTCCTGCTGCTGCCTCAACCCCCACCGGTGTTTCCAGTGAGAGTCTTTGAGGCTTTATTCCCCTGCACTGGAACCCTAGGTTATTCACTCTGTCTCACTCCCTAGTTGTTCCTCCTGGTTTATCTGCATGCAAATATGGGACTTCCCAGTTGGCAAGCCACCACCTCACCCAGTCTACCAGCTGCTGCCTTGCCTGCCCGGGGCCTCCAGCTGCCACCTTGCTGAGAGGCCTCTCTACCCAGCTGCCCGTCTCTGCCCCTCCTACCAGTCTGGATGAATGTTTCTTCTTTAACTGCTTGGTTGTCAGACTTCCATACAGTTTGATTTTCTGTCAGTTATGGTTGTTTTTTGTGTTTAGATTTGTTGTTGTCCTTGTTTTGGTTGTGTGAGGAGGCACAGTGTGTCTACCTACACCTCCATTTTGGCTGGAAGTCCTTATGTTTTCAATGTTATTTTATATTAGTTTCAGTTGTAAGCATAGTGATTAGACATTTATGTAATTTATAAAGTGATCTCCCCAATAACTCTAGTATCTACCTGGCACCATACATAGTTATTACAATATTGGCTATATTTCCCATGCTATACTTTACATTCCCTTGACTATTTTGTAACTACCAATTTGTACTTCTTAATCCCTTTACTCTTTTCACCTGGCCCCCCAAACCTCCCTACCCTCTGGCAACCATTAGTTTGTTCTCTGTATCTATTAGTCTGTTTTGTTTGTTCATTTATTTTATTCTTTAAACTCTACGTATAAGTGAAATCATATGGTATTTGTCTTTCTCTGTCTGATTTATTTCATGTAGCATAATATACCCTCAAGATCCATCCATGTTGTTGTAAGTGGCAAGATTTCCTTCCTTTTTTGACTGCATAAAATTCTATTGTATACATATGCACCTATTTTTTTAAATCATTGGTCCATTCCTGGACACTTAGGTTGCTTCCATATCTTGGCTATTGTAAATAATGTTGAGGTGCAGATATCTTTTCAAATTACTGTTTTCATTTCCTTTGGATAAATACCCAAAGTGGGATTGCAGAATTATATGGGAGTTCAATCGATATTTAAAATATTTTTTAGGAACTCCATAGTGTTTTCCACAATGGCTGCACCAATTTGCAATCCTATAAACAGTGCACAAAGGTTCCCTTTTCTCCATCTTCTTGTCAGCACTGGTAGCCCTTGTTTATGATCATGTTATTCCAATTGGGTCTCCACTGGAGGTTACAAACCAAAATACCTATAGCAGCCAGACAGATCCTGTAAACAAGGGAAGCTGGCCAAGTGGGACACTTAAGTACATATGCCCCATCTAAAGGGGAGACCACTATTCAGCTTTGACAAACTGTTGCCATATGGGAACACAGGAGCAGTTGCAGATCTTTGAGTTTCTGAAGAAGTCAAAAGTTTGAATTTTTACAAAGAAATTCCCAAATACAATTGTTGGCAACTATTGCAAAAAGTTTTTTTTTATGCAATTGTGTATAGCAAACAAATAATGTCAGTTAAGGAAGATATGGCCCTCTAGTCACTGATTAGAAGCCTCAGGTTTCTAAGCCATCACCAATTAAATTCATCTCATACCTAGGTTTGGGAACACTGGATTCACCCAGAACTGCATACTTCAGAAATTCGCATAGGTAGTCATGGGTTACTTCACAGTTTTCAGCAAATAAAATGGTACATAAGTGTGCTTTCTGTAAAGATTAAATGAGGGCATATCAAATTATGAGTATTGAGAACAGTAACAAAGCAAGGCAAATTATTAAAATATTCTAGTTTCTAATGCTTTTAGCATATATTCAAACATAAGGAGGATTCTAATTAAACAAAAAGGAAGGTCTAAAACTACAACCTGTGATATGACATTATTAGTGGAATATTTAATAAACACTGACACAGAACCTTAATTAGAGATACTTGGTTACATGTTAGGGGTAACAGGATGAATATAACATGATTCATGCTCTCAAGGAGTCTATTCTACTAGAAGGAAAGATGCAGAAACAGGTTAATTCCAATACAATGTGGGTAAATGCTATTATACTGGTATAGGAGTCAAGAGGTTGACTGACTGCCTTGAGGGTTAGAGTGTTTGGGATACAGCTTCACTGAGATGAAAATACTGGGGTTGAGCCTTGAAAATAGAGTCAGGCAGGTAGAAGGAAACACTGCATGTAAACATGTAGTTTGGTTTGGCCAGGGCCAAGACTGCATGTTGCAGAGCAGTAGAAAAATATGAGAGGAGAGAGAAGTGGAGCCAGATCAGAAGATCAATATGGTCTAAGCTAAGGAGTTAGACATTATCCTGGGGAAACAGGGAGTTCACTGAAGCAAATGTTTCTGTCTTACAGTTGATGTTTCCTCCTTAAAATAGCTTTGTACTTATATATGGTTATTAAAATATATTGTGCTTACTTTAAAAAGAGTCAGATAATACAGAAAGGTAAAACAGATAAAAGACAATAAATGAAAGTAAAAGTCACCTGTCCTTGTATAACTCAAGAGAAAATTACCATTTTCATTTTAACCAGAGAGGCAGGGGAGTATAGTGGTAAGGTGCTCACATCCTGGATTTAACACAACTCAAGTTTAAATACCAGCTTTACTATCTGGTACAAGTGCCTTAACCTCCCTAAAATGCAGTTTCTTCATCTATATAGAGTAATTATAATCTACCTCATCAGATTATTGGTAAGATCAATGAGATAGTACAAGTACTGAGGCTAGAGCCTGATATATTGTAGGACTTAGTAAACATCAAATATTATTATTATTATTATTGCTATTTTTCCCATGACTTTTTAATTTTAACAGTCCATTCTCTAAATTTACCTAAAAACTTTTAATTTATCTGAAAAATCCCTTTTGATGATAGTTTTTTTAAAAAATCACAACAGTATTACAAGTATACTTGTATACCTATTAGGATAAATTTCTGATCAAAATAACCATGTATTAATATATCTGACATTCTGACAAATACTGCTAACTCCTGAAGGAAGGTACCAATTTCTATTTATCAACCAAAAATGGGTGAGATTGAAAAAGGTGGAAATGAATGAAGTAGGGGTTTAGATGGTTACTGAGCAAGGGATGTCCGAGTCTGAGAAGGGTGAAAAGGACATCCTATAGGGGAAATGGCCCAGGATTAGGGGTAGGCACTTAATACAGACGTGGGAGGCCCAATGTGGGTGTCAAAGCCTAAACAGTATGAGGTCATCCATGCATTAGGAAGTGAAGAGCAGTGAGTCCTGGCATCAAATCAGCAAGTGTTGAGTGTAAAGAGGGAATCAATGCTGGAGAACAACCGTGGCATCACAGGTTTCAGAGCCTAAATAGAGTAAAGGTGTCCATGTGAGATGCACAAGGGTCTGTCACATTAGAGAGGAGGGCATTCACACAGGAGGGTAACCTGGTATAAGGTGTAGAATGACAGAGCCCAAGTTAGTCACTGAGGAGGGTGTGGAGCAGATGCAGCAATGGGGGACTGATAAAATATATTGAAGATAATGGGAGTTAGGTTTCTTACTGGTAGAGCAGAAAATTGTAAGTATAAAAAAGGAGAAAATTAGAATGAACCCTATGAATTGGATTGGGAGTAGAGATACTGATATGAATTCATGGTTTTTCACTATGTGTGGATACATATTTAATGTAATATGACATACATTTAAGTATTAATTTGATTAAATATTTTAATGACAATTATAAACAACTTTTTAAAAAAAGTTCTACCTGGAGTATATTTTTTCATTGCTTTTAGAGAGAGAGGAAGGGGGAGAGTGGAGAGGGATAAAGAAACATCGATTGTTAGCCCTGGCTGGCGTAGCTCAGTGGATTGAGTGCGGGCTGCGAACCAAAGTGTTGCACGTTCGATTCCCAGTCAGGGTACATTCCTGGGTTTGCAGGCCATGACCCCCAGCAACCGCACATTGATATTTCTCTCTCTCTCTATCTCCCTCCCTTCCCTCTCTAAAAATAAATAAAATAAAATCTTAAAAAAAAAGAAACATCGATTGTAAGACAGAAACATCAATGTGAGAATCATCAATTGGTTGCCTTCCAAATGCAACAGGACCCAGGATTGTACATGCAACCTAGGTATGAGCCCTGACTGGAAATTGAACCAATTCTTCAGCTTCAGGACAACTCCCCACCCAGCTGAGCCATACCGGCCAGGGCATAAACAACTTTTATAAATAAAACTAATTTGGTAATATGAATTATTGATTTAAATATAAAATATTTAATATAAAAGTTTAACTATAAACACTTGTATGTGTGTTTGTGTATATTTCCTAGCTCTCTTCTGGGAGTATGAACATCCAAATGACAATGAATACATTTAGCACCCAGATCTTGAGTTTCTAAATGTCATTTGCTATTAAAAAGAACTAAGTATCCTAGAAGAAATGGCTGGTGACAGGGAAAGCACAGATGAGCCTAGAACATCTGTGCCAGAGAAAAAGAAAATGATCACATAATGAAGGGGTCCTGTCAAAAGGACAAAGAAACTAACTCAATGGCCAAATTTGGGATATTTGCATCATCAAAATATGAGAATGGGGGGGGGGGGTGCTAAGATGGCGTCAGAGTAGGAAGGAGCAGATTCGGCTTCCCTCTGCTCAGGGGAGAAAATCCTGACTGATCTATGGAGTAGAGAAGCAAGCAACCAACATACTTCAGCATATGTGAAAATAGGGGACCAAGGATTGTGGTGGAACCGAAAAACTGGACCCTAAGAACAGTGCTACAACAAGGTAGGGACCCGGCGACCAGTGTGTGGTCTGGGGGCTCCTGCCCCAGGCCCAGGGCCTGCTGCTGGGTTTCCCACAGAGTCCTTGGGAGAGAGCCAGGACAACTGCTCCCTCCCCAGCCAAACAAAGTCTGAGTGGTACTGGGAGGGAATCCAGGTGCTAGCAAACACACAGGGGCTGTGAGCACCTTTGGAGGCTGTGGACACAGGAGAGGCTGGGTCGAGAAGCAGGCCCTGACCCCACAGTCACTGGTCTGGCTGGAGAGTTGGGCTGCAGGAGAAGCCAGGCCATTGTGCGGAGAGGCAGGCTTGAACAGGAGGAATTTCTCAAGAGGAAGGAGTGAATAGACAGACACTCTTTGGGGAATTTTCCTAAAGTGATCAGTCGCTCCAGCCTCCCTGCCACCCAGCCATGGGCGTGCGTGCAGGGAGAGCATCCCCGCACCCCAGTCCACAGAAGTAACCATGGGGAAAGACCTGATTCCCATACCCAGGGCGCAAGGCTGAGCCACATTAGCTTCCCAGACAGTGAGGGAGCCAGTGCAAGTTCCCCTGACTAAGGAAAAAAAGCCATACCAATCACCCCTCAGCCTGCCTCAGCCAGCAAGAGCAGAAAAACCGGTTTGGCCACTTTGAAACCAAGAGACTTTTTAATGTGATTCTATTCTTTTTTAACAATTTTTAATTTTTAAATTTTATTGTTTTTATTCTCTTTTGATTTCTTTTTCCTCTCTTTCCTGATTTCTTGTTTTATTCCTTCCTCCTGCTTCCCTCCAATTTTATCTCTTCTTCCTTCCTTTGTCTGCCTTTTCCATTTTTACTTTTTTAAATTTTTTCTAAATAACTACAAGTGAGACAAAATCCTGGATCTGTGAAAAGACCAAAGTTGAACCCAAAGAAGGGGCATCACAATGACTGGGACAGTGACACAAATTTCACTCTGCTATTACAGAGAACCTGCAAGTTATTGCATACTTGTATTATTATTATTTTTCCAGTATTCCTACATCTTTTTTTAATAGTATTTTTGTATCCCTTTTCTTTTCGTATAGTCTGCTTTGCTAGGCTGGATATATTGTATGACCTGAACAGCTTTCCCCTGCTATCTCTTTCCATACTGTGTTGCTAATCTACCATCCTTTAACTCACCTATGTCCCATTAGCACACAACTCGAGGTTCTGTACTCCCTATTCCTGTTATCTAGATCTCATAGATTCTGTCATATGATTGTTGCCATAATATTATCGTACATAACTGCTGTTCCATGCAATTGTAATTACTTCATAACCGCCACCCACCCCCCCCAGATCTTAGCCCATTTTAAACTTTCCAGGACTCTATTACTGTAGTGGATAACTCTATTCTGTCACACACTATACCTTTTTACTATCCTTTACTCTCACCTTACCTCAGAATCTGACCTCCCACAACCTCACTGCTTTCTAGATCCAACTTACAATCCTTCCCTCCCCAACAAGAGTCTTATCTTCTTTCCATCCTTTCTAAAAAGTGGCTAGTTAGGTGGAAGGTCACGGTTAACACTATATATAGCCAAAGGATCTCCTATCTCTTCTCTACTTGCTGCTACAGTAAATACCATAAAATACTCTCTTGCTGTCTTAAACCATTTTGCCTTCTCCCTCCAACTGATCACAAAACAAGAGTAGTTGGAAGGGGTGACCACCAGGATACCCACTGGAAGAGGAAACCCAACAACAAGGGAACCACTAACAGATAACAACAGAAGAAGGTGAAGGAAGGAGTGGCAACCACACGAACCTCAATCCAGGACCTATCTGGAAATACAACTAAATAGCGGAGACACTACCCAGTACAAACAATTGAACAAGAGCAAGAGAGAATCCTCAAAACCTGTACACGTGGAAGAACCAGATTCAACACAACCTACCCTCACCAGCACAACAAAATACAAAAGG